GGTCACAAAGTTAGCTGCGATGCGGACCTGCAGACATAACACATAATAAATTATAAGTGGGCACATACTTGCCTCACTAAAACACTGCGGCTTCAGCACTACTGAATCACAGCCTGTTTCCAGCGGGTGACTCTAGAGCTCAAATTACCCCATATTCACACCCTGTAACACTTCAAGAACACACACCGCTGAGTGTGTTTAACAATACACATATCCCAAATACAAACAACTGCTAAATGTAAAAAAACATCTAACTCAAACTGAACAGCTCATTCCTGCCCTCAAATATCCTCTCAACCTTAACGTCCTAATGTATCAGACCAGGACAATTCCACATCAGACCTGTTGTGTGCATCCAAGTAAAATATTTTGAAGTATTTAACTTAAACCTACATAACATTCCTTTAACTAATTAACTTAACTTTGTAGGGCTTCACATTTTGGCAAACAATATTTGCGATGATTATATATCAAGATTACTATATAACAGTATAAGCGATTGGAGGGATTATATCTCTCTGGCCTGGGAGCGCCTTGGGATCCCCCAAAATTAGCTGGAGGAAGTGGCCAGCGAAAAGGACGTATGGGTGTCCTTACACAGCCTGCTGCCACTGCGACACAGTCCCAGATAAGTGGTGGAAAATAGATGAATAGGTGGATATAATAATAATAATAATTTTAATTCAAGTCAGATAAATTATAACTACTGTAATATTTAATTGTAAAATAAAAATAGAGTATACATATAACACATTGGATCCCATTAAATTTCATACAGCTAATGTCTTTCAAACCCACCAAAAGGAGCTGTCGAATACATATTTTTGACCAACAAAACACTTTTAATAAAAAAAAGTTCAAGTTCAGTTTATTTATAAAGCACATTTAAAAAGGGCCACAGGCCGACCAAAGTGCTGTACAAGTTAGAATAAAAAAATAATAAAAAAATATAAGTACACTAAATAGCAGCAAAACAGTTCAAATAGAACACTCTTATGAAGTAGCATATCTCCAAGGAGCGCTTAGGAAGAAAGGATTTGACTTTCGATAGAGAATGAAGAAAGAAAAAGCTGGACCCAATGACCGCGCTAATCTGCTTGTCAAATTTGAAGAGAAATTCGAAGGGAAAGAGATTAACATAATGGGAAGCATCCAGCAATCTGTCTAATTAGCATCTCATGTGGCCAAGCTGGGGAAGTCAGCTGAGCTCTGACAGTATGCAGAAAATGACCACATGTAATTAAAGGGGAAGAAAATATGTGGCAGTTAAATGCAGCTTTTAGAGAAGGGACAGATGCTGACAGAGACTGAACTAAAGAGCACAAATAAATCTGAATCTACCCGTCTGCTCCATATAAAATCAAAACTACTGTCAAAGTGACAGACCATATTAATAACAGTCTTGCCATTCAGTTTTAACAGATGAAAAGATGCAATTAAACGCCAACGGTAAACGACACTGTCCATCACTAAAATTCTTCCTAAGATCTCACTTGTGTTTCAATTGCAGAAACAACAGTGTATTTGTAGTGTGTAAATGACGACAGAATTCTCACTTCTGGCTAAACTATCTCTTTAAACCAGCGTAGACTGCAGACTTCCACCTCAAAACACACCCGCCCCTGCGGGCGTAACTTCATCCGGCCGAGGCTTTCGGCTCAGATGGCTGTCGTGTCAGACGGATCTGGCATCTGCTGTCTCACACATGTGTAACTCTACCGGAGCACGGCCCGTTAAAGCCCGTAGGCTCGGTTCGGAGTGGGTGGATCTGCTGAGATCTATTTCTGAACTCCCTCTGACAGCTAACTGCTAACAGCTGACGCTCTCAACACTTCACTCAAAACAACAAGGCCATTTCAGCTTTAACGGACAGCGTGACTTGCTAAAACACTGCTTGTTGTTCGGTGTATCGTTGTTGTTAAGCCAGGTCTCTGTGTTTTACGGGAGTGCAAAACTGCGATTTCACTTCCTCACAGATTAGCACACGGCTACCCGGATAGACAACCTCGCGCTCCTTCCGGGAAGCAGTTATTCATCCTTCTGCACGCGGAGAGTTTTAATATAAAGACATACCATAGTGTGTTTTTGGGCGGTTTGTGAAAGTTAACTTAATGTTTTATTTTTACCTTCTCCTCGTCTGAAAGCGGCTCCTCAAAGTCGGTCATCTTGGCTGTGGCGGAGCCTCACGCCGCGGCGCATGCTGGGTAGCGCGCGCTGTCACGCTCGTGACCATAATAGGGCAAAACGGAGTGTGAGCCACCGCCTCGCGCAGCTCCTGCTCTCCTCTCCCGCCTAGCCTACTCTGGTCTGACAATCAGTTTGCGGAGAGGATATACGGGGAGCAGACTTCGAGCTGCACTTTTTAATGGGGATTTTGTTTCACATCGGTGACTCGAATCTTTTGGATCAGTTCATAAAAAGGTTCGTGTAGTGGTCCTTTCTGCCAGTTACATTCTTACGCCAGTAGGTGGCGACAGGTGAACGTGTTTTTGTCACTGAATAATTCACTCAACAGATTCTTTAACCAAAACCAAGCTGATCAAACACATCTTCTTATCCTTTTTTTTCTTATGAAAATTTAATAAAACATTATCAATAAAAATCTGCACGTCATGCTACATAAATGGACAACATGCAGTCTAAAATATAAATGACCTGAGCTCTTTAATATCCCAGGTTCTAATTTCTATCCAAGGTTAATTTCAAATAAAGTTATTGATTTGCATACAACTTGGCTTGGCCGAAGCGTCAATACACACACACACCAAAAAAAAAAGAAAAAGAAATTGGTCCCCATAACATAGGTAATACCAGGACCACACACAAACACATGCTTACATCTGAATGGAAACACTCCATAGATGTATATTGGTTTTATATACAGATTGTTTATATATATATATATATATATATATATATATACATACATACATACATACATACATAAATACTATAACCTAACCCTAATAACCCACACCCTAAACCTTACAGAATGCTTTCTGCATTTAAAGATGAATTTTATTAGGCACATTTTTTTTTAGTTTTTTTTTTAGTTTTTTTATACCAAATGAGGATGTCCCCAAAAGGAGGTTTTGTCAGGTTTAGTTTATTTCTGGCTACAAATTTGTAAATGGTTCAATAGGTACACATTAAAATAAGGCTCCTGTACTGTTAATACAAATTAACATAATTACAGTAAAACAAAATAAATGTTCAACAAGATAATTGACAAATCCTTTCTGTGATTCTTCTGCTGTCCTACAGAGAGCAGCATTTCTCCAACATTTGAACTGCTGTTGGACGGACAAAAAAAAAAAAGAAACTTTATTGACCAGCAGAGGGCGCGATTACCCTGCCATTATCCGTAAGAAGCACATTCACATCTAAAACCAGAGATGAAATCACTGCAGGCCAACATCATGCATATCTGGGGCCTGTTTTATTCTCAAGAGCTTCAAAATTCACTTACTCAAGTGGAGATAAATAGAAAATGAGGCCTTTTCTATTAACTTGTTTCACCTGCTGAATTAATTGCAAAATAAATGCACTTTTTTGTAAGTGGCTTCAGAGTGTATGCCAAAAACATGAAATGCAATGTACATATAAATGCAAGCAGGACATTATGAAAGTCGATCTCAGGAAGAGGATGATCCATCAAACTTAATTTTAACGTCCTGGAACTAATGCGCTTGCCTGGAGAGAAGTGCACCACAGGGGAGACTTTAGGCCCCTATTTCCCCCTTTCTCTCTCTGCTCTTCTTCTTCCATCTCTTCCGTCATGTCCCATCTTTTCTGTCAGAGCCTGGATCTTTTAGGTTTCTTGCTTATAGCGCCATTCCTATTAAATATACAATATTTCAACCTACAGATTAAATATGATTCTTAACAGAGCAGATTTAAACAAAGTAAAGGCAAACATTACGTCCAGACTTGCAAATTCTTTCCACAACCTTTCAAACCGCTTTCAAGCATTTTTTTTCTTCTAGCCTATAGTGTGTTGGCGACATTCTTATATTTGAACACCACAAAACGTTAACTGGAACAAATGTGTGTGTGTGAACTCTTGAAAGCCTTATCATCACAACACAGCAAAATAGGGGTAGTGAGAAGCGAGAGAGAAAGTCATCCATCACTAATGTGTCATCTCTTTGATCATAAACAACATTAGTGTCTATTGGTTTATATTTCTTGCTGTCTTTGGTATTTACCTCCCTCGCACTGAACTTAAAACAGTAAAAAAATATTTTGTGTGTGTGTGTGTGTGTGTGTGTGTGTGTGTGTGTGTGTGTGTGCGGTGAGGAAGTGAGGTGTGTTCCCACGACCGAAAAAAAAATTTTGTGTGTGTGTGTGTGTGTGTGTGTGTGTGTGTGTGTGTGTGTGTGTGCGGTGAGGAAGTGAGGTGTGTTCCCACGACCTGTGCGTGTGGTAACCTTACCTCCCTTTGATCCTGCTTTGCCCTGATAGATTCTGTCTCACACACTCACACACATACTTGGGAAGGCACTGATGTGATGTGACAGTTGTTAAGGCCTCTCACTTTGATGTGGAGGTATTAGCCCTTCTGCGATCCAATCAAACATGCACGGACCTCTTCCAAACCCCACGCATGTGCTGTAACTGAGAAACTTTTTGTAATTTCACAGCAGAGGAGACTGTGGATTTCGCTGCCTATTTGTCTCTCTGTTGGAGTCATTTCTGTGTCATTATCAGCAAAATTATGACTGTTTTCAAACAGGTTTCCTCCTCTATATTCCATTTGTCGACCAAACAGACAGCACCGTCCCGAATCTATGTATGTGTGCCCAACTTTTTTCTCCATACAATATTGCCAAAAGCACACACTACATAAGGAACAGCTTGGGCAGGAATGATAACAAAATATAGACACTGCAGATTATACATAAACAAATAGCAAATAATAAATAATAGCAATGTCGCTGATAATATAATATAATATAATTAATACAGTATAATACATACATATATATCAAAGTGGGCGGGACTAGCCAGCATGACACCACCGAAATAAAACAAGGAATAGATAGCCTTTATCGTTTGTCACTGTGTCGCTCAAGACACGTCTTCTAGAAAGTACTTCAACACTTGTACAAAATATCTAGTGCAGGCAAGTAGCAGGCTTTCTCAGAGACATAGCACTCAGATGCATGGTTGGGGTGAAAGCGCTGATTGGTGGAATATTCCAGGAGCAGTCCTTGCCCTTGAGATGTTGGAATTCTGGATTTAGAGAAAGTCTTTGGACTTATTGGCACTGTGCTTAAATGCACAGTAAGAGTATCTGGCAACTCAGTAACTGAAGACAAGTCTGTTGTAGTATCCTTGCCGAAATTTAGAACCACCAGGAAGGCTTTGTTGAGCCCATCCAGCTCACGCAAATAAGCAAATACGTTGACATCGCTCCAGACGAAGCAGAACCAGCCTCGGGACAGTGCCAACTCAGCCACCCTGAGTAAACTCAGAGCACGATACTGTGAAATGGTGGAGTGTGTATCAGCCTGCTGAAGCTGGAGAGAAAAATATGAGCTGGGATTAGAGGTTTCTCTGCTTTAACACATACTTTCTGAATCAACGTACCTCCACATTGACAGTGCTGTAGTCCGGAGCGATGTCTAGCCATGTGCCATTTTCACTGTCACTAAAACCAGCATTGAGCTCATCATCCCACTGCATTGGTGTTCGTTGCGGGTCCCGACTGTTGCTCTACATTTTAAAATAAAACATATATTTTTTTTTTTTTTTTTTAAATACCACTTATAATTAGTATATTTGTCGTTTCAGTAAAAATCCTTTACAAATGTACATTTTCCTGAAAAACAAAAATGCATAAGATTTTAAGTTGTTGTGTTTTTCACTTGTTTAAGCATAAACCTCACTAAATGTTTTATTTTTGCAGGCATTTTTGCATTGCATGATTTATTATATAAAAAAAATTTCAGCCTGTTCAGCTGTGCTCGTGAAACAGTATTTCTTTGTCTCTCTATCCTTCTCTCTGTCTCATTCTCTCTCTGTCTGAACCTAAAGAGGTTGAGATGGTCCCAGTTGCACCAATAAGATGCTGTTAAGGGTCCCTTCTTTGCCAGAAGGCTTTATTTTCTATTTTATTAAACACCTCAAACCAAGACTGTCAGCTCATGCATTTAAGAAACAAAACCAGAGACTATGGAAACCTTCAGTTATCCAGATGAAGGGTTCTGCGCCTTACTGGATCAAGCACAGCTCATAAAATTTTCTTTTGGAATTTCAGACATTACTTTGTGTCTTCAAATGTGATGTGAATAACTGCTATTAGTCAAGCTGTTGGTCTCCCGCTATTGCTGTGTCACAACCAATAAGACTGGACTGCTAAATTCATCTCCACAGAGGAATTCTGGTTACGACTGAACCTTGTCTTTAGCACTAACACACACACACAGTGAGGACAGCGAAATATCCCTCACACAGGGGCTATCATCATTCCTCTAAACCCAGACAGCAACACAGAGACAGAGGAGGGGGACAGAAGGTCAGGTTTGTTTGACGGTAAAGCATCACAACACCCTGCAGCGTTTGTTTTTGCTGCACGTTCAGGTGTGTGTGTGTGTGTGTGTGTGTGTGTGTGGTGGTGATGGTGTTTTGAGTAAACGCCTGGGAAAACTATTGTAAATGTAGAGTCATCCATTAGTCACATCTGACATTTTATTGTTTTTTTTTATGACACTTTATCTGCACACAATACAAAAAACCGACAATCTCAGACAGCACAGACCCTGATGAGCCATGAAGACTTATTTAGATTAACTGAATGGCAAGAACATGAGCTTTGTATTTAGATCAATATGAGTAATAAAAGATGCACTTGTTTTTATCAGGAAAATATAAGACTGCATCCTATTAAATTCATACTGCCCTACAAACACAAAATGCATATGAACACATTTAGTAAAAACTGAGTGAAATTCGGTTTCATAGATCATGATCTATTATGTGACAGACAGGTTTGGTTACATTCAGAGAAAACTGAGTGTGAAAATGGATATCAAGTCAGTTCAAATGTAGTAGTACAAATAATAATAACAACAATAATAATAAATTTAGAATATTTTTATATTATTTATTTTGCATTTATCGATAGCTTTAATTGGCTTTTATTTTTATATTTTCAGTTTCAAGTTTAATTTTAGTTTAAGTTTTAGAAATTTTATCATGTGCTTTTGTCATTTGTTTGTTTGTTTCTTTCTTTCTTTCTTTAGATTTAATATATTTTTATTTCAATTTTAGAACGTTATAGTGCTGTCAAAAGATTAATCGTGATTAATCACATCCAAAATAAAAGTTTTTGTTTATATGTATGTGTACTGTGTTTATTTATTATGTATATATAAATACACACACATACCATATATATTTTGCAAATATTTATATTATATTTTATATTTATTTTTATATATTTATATTATATTTTTTATTATATATAAATTAAATATATACATGCATGTGTTTGTACTTATATATACATAATAATTATACACAGTACACACTCATAAATTATATATATATTACATTTTAGTTTTAGTTAGTAATAACAGCACCAAGTCTTCAAAGAGTAAATGTGCTGTTCTCTTTCACACACGTTGTCTCCTTCTTATGCAATCTTGTAAATACTAGGATTGCTGGTTGCTGAATAAGTGGAATAAAGCAAAAAAAAAAAAGGAAGAGAGGGAAAAAGGATGAAACACTTAAATCTCTTTTTCCAAAAGTATTGGGAAAGATACAGATGAATGAATCAAAAATAAAATCAAGTCAAGAGGAGAAACAGAAAAGCAAGACTCCTTTTTTGCTCTTTCATAGCTTAAAATACTTTACTATGTTCTAAGGTATTTTAAAGATCAACTTTGCCTCAGATGTTTCTCCTAGAAGGGAAATAAAGAACAAAAACAACTGAGTCAATTGTTGACTTGGTCTTAGAAGAATTTGATGGGAAATTTGGGTTCACACTGTGACTTTTAATTTCAGACTTTGGTATGTTGGTGAATCGGAGCACACACAGTGTGAGACATTGTTGAGATCTGAGATTAAGACCTCCATTTAATTTCATTGCTGTCTCTCTGAGAAACAGCTGTAATATTAATAAGATGATTTACTTTTGTGTGGGTGTCGAGAAAGAGAGAGAGAGAACAATTATTGACAGACAGCAATATGTTGTGATGTTGCATATGAACATCTCTGTGATGTGATGTGCTGTGCTGTTGGTTCTAGTTGAGTAGGAATGTGTTTATTGAAATGTTTACTGAGACTTTCAAACATGCACAAACATCTCTCTCTCTCTCCATTTCTCTCACTCTCTTTCGCTCTCAATATATAGAGAAAATTCTTGGAACCACAGACACAAAAGCAGGTCTCCACACCTTTGTCAGAGATGTACAGGTGTTTTAATCTCATTCTCTTCACATCTCCGTCAGTCATCTGCCACACTCTCTCTGTCTCTTTCTCTCCCTCACATGCCATCTCTCTCTAACAGCTGTAGATGGGCAGAATATATGGCTATGTAAACACATTAGGAGTCTGTTTATGGCTGAGTAAACCCCTACAGTTTAAACAATTTTGAGAAATGGGATTCAAGAGCCAAAGTGAAGTGCTGTGAGAGGGAGCACCGTTAAGGTGTCCCTGGCATGCCTGTTTATTTTGGTTGGGGTGACCTTGTCAGTGGACAACTCTCATCAGGGGTGAGGGGTTTAGATGACGTCAGCTCTGAGACGAGGATGAGTAAAATGTCTAACAAACCAAGGAGCAAAAGAGAAGAACTCAGCTGTTCCAATACATGTGAGTGTGTGTGTGTGTGTGTGTGTGTGTGTGTGTGTGTGTGTGTGTGTGTGTGTGCACGTCCGATTGTTTGTTTGTGTGTGTGCGTATATGTACGTGTTTTGTATGCGCATTGGTTTGTTATTAATGAGATGGGAATTGTAGGAATTTAACAATTCTGGTTCTGATTCTACTACATGATTCATGTTCCTTAACGATTCCATTCTATTAATTTAGAGAAGGAAAGAATTTACGTTTTTTATGGTATTTACTTCTCTTAAAAGGGTCATAGTTGATATGATTCTTTAGGGTCTTAATGAAAAGTCTGTAACATAGTTTGGTTAAAATTTCTCAATGGTAGTGTAAAAAGCACTGTTTTTACCCTGTCAAAAACAGCTCTTTTCAGATCAAGCCGTTTTTGTAGCATTTTCCTTTAAATGTTAATG